GCTTGTTCCTGACAATGCTTGCGATTAGCGGAGCCTTATTAGACAGCACTGCCGTTTCGCCCAAATTTCAGGCCGGGGTTGCGAAATTCAGTCCCCGCAGCCAACTCCGTTAACTTCACTAACCCTCCAGCTTGGGCTTTTCCCGGCCCCGGCTAGTAAGGGCAAGTCAGGTTAGTGGCCGCTCAACGAGAATCTCTCATACTCCTAGTAAAGCCACCCATTCGTCGGGGCACCATGAAGAGGCCCTCCGTGGGCCCTGATCTCACCAGTAATACTACCTGTCTGGAGAAGGACTGTGCGCATTGGACCTGGAGCCTTGGCAGCCTGCAGCGTTGCTTCTCTTGTCTCCTTTGTGTCTATGTAAGATCGTTTGCTTTCAGCATCTTGTGCTGTACTTGGTACTTTGAGCAGGACCACTGTCCATCGTCTTTCCTTTCTGTCCTTCTTTGTCAATTGTTTCCAACTGCAGTCATTCTTTTGGTACCTCACCAGAGTCATTCGTTTAATTAGTCCTCCAGTTGCTGTTGTGGAATCGTGCTACGCATTCATTCCGCCCGGAGTCTGGACCTCACATTGACCAAACGACGCAACCTGATGATCCCGTAACAACAAAGGCTACAGTTCTCTGCCCTTCAACATGTCATGCTAGAGTAATTGTTAATCGACGCCTTTCCCCTTGTTGGCAGACAGCAACAACTCTCGGTCTGCCCCGGTAACATGTCCTCTCCCATTCTCCCTGAGAATGAGCCGCAGATACTGCCGAGGAACCCCTTCGCTCGTCCAGGTCCCATCCCCGATATCCGGTTAGAAGGCCTCTATTTGGAGAGACCCCCTTCGCTGGTGCAAAGAGCCGAGTCGTCTTCAAGTTCATCGAGCCCGGCAACTACAACATCGTGTGGCCCAAACGACAACTCGGGCGCTTGTGAGAAATATTACGGGTCTGATGGGTCGAGTACAACTGTGCCAATCGTTCTGGCAGTAGTTATACCTTTAGCGATCGCCCTGGGTATCCTGTTATATCTGCAGAGAAGGCATGTGAAGAAGTTAAGAAGAGAAGATGCTGAAGACAAACACAAATCCCTTGATTTTGGCCTGCTCGAGGCGAAGCACAACCCTGGGGGGAAGAAGAAGGGTCGGAAAAACCCAGAGATGTCGATGGCTGAGGACAAAGAGACAGGCGGCCGACGAGCTCGTGGCTTGTCGCTTGACTTGGATGCCAATAACCCTTATCTTCTGCCGCCCGAACTGCACCACTCTAGGGAATCGCTCCATTCGCTGTCTCGCTCTATAACCACTGGTGACGATAAATATCGTGCGACTACCTTCATTCCTGATGATGGTTCCATACGGCCACCGTCAAGTCTCAGAAGCCCCGTCGACGATTCCTCAAGCTATACCGGGTCTTCTAGCCGCAGGTTTCCATTTGACTCGAGGCAGAATTTGTTGCACAATGCCCAGGAGCCTGCGAATGTGCCACCTCCATCAGGAAACCCCATTCCGGCAGAGTCGGCTCCAGGAGGCCATGGTCCTATGCCGCCGGTCAAAGCGAACACATTGCTCCCTCCTACCATACCCGACCCTATCCGTGACTCTTTTGTGAGCACGGCGAGTAGCAATGGAGCAGTGAACTCTTTGAGGGCCAGCAACAACTACCTAGGCCAATTTATTAGCGGCGGTGGATTATTTGAGGAGGAACAAGTCAAGAAGGAACCTATATCGACTGTCAAAGAGGTCCGGGCCGAGTCACCAGTTATGCAAGTCCAGGCGCCTCCCCCAGTAGTACTCAAAGACGCTCCACCCACGTTTACACCGTCCACAACTTCAACCTCTCGTGGACAGAATCCTGTCGTTCCAGGCATTACGGTGAATACTCCAGAAGAACGCCAGGCACGGCTACCTCAGCTAAGCTTCATCGACTCCCAAGGCAATGGACAACATGCCGTCAATCCGAAAGAAGACCCTCTCACCGCTCTAGATACATCCACGAAGACGCACCAGGGCAGCGACACTCGTTCAACGGAGTTCTCTGGCCCAGAGCTTTCGCATAATCAGACATCGCAAGGTCAACACCAGGCTCAACAAGAGGAAGACGATTACTACGATGAATACGAGGCTTACGGAGATCATGATCAACAATATCCTGAGGAGCATGGGTATTATGACTTCGAAGACTACGACGACTACACTGGGTACGATCCCCGTCGACTCACAATGGGGCTGCGACCATTACCCCCCGATGATCCGTCCGAAAACCCAGAACAGCGCGCCAACCGGATCAGATCATTCTACAAAGAATACTTTGATGACTCCAAACCGCAGAATCCGGTTCAAAACATGCAATATTATGATGGTGCTGAAGGCTACCACCAGGACAGCCATGGACCGGGTGCCTATCCAGATGGTTACTATGATCAGGCGGCATACTATCCACCTCGGGGCATGTCACAGAACGGCGCGTACGGGAGACATCGTGCAACGGTTTCTAACGGAAGCTATCAATCCGGCCCTAGGGCGTTTTCTTCGGCATCGGGTCGGTATGGGGGATATCCTCGCATGCCACCACCGAAGAACCTGCCGCCACCGAAAGCGCTGAACCTCCTACCAACGCCGGCAAAACTCAAGGAGGACACGTTTTTGCCCATAGACTTTGCTCCCCCTCAGAAAATTCACAACCAGCGATCTGGTACTCCCGATAGCCTCCGTGGAGGACTGAGGCCGTACTCACCAGCGGTGAGGGCTCACATTCCACTCGCATCATCATTCGATGATCTGGCGGTTATACCCAGCCCGTAAGTCTTGTGTCTACTAATCCGCGGGATCTTTATGACTAACAAGTATCGGCAGGCATCAATTGAGAAAGTCATCCACATTCACAGCATTGGACTTTGCACCGCCATCGCGACTCAGAGTAAACGACACTGGCACTGAGACTGGAAGTATTCGCAGCAATCGATCTGGAATATCGGCTCTCCACGTTCATAATATCCGGACCGGCGCATACCGAGTGAGTCGCATACCAAAAGAGGTTGCAGGTACCAGAGACGAGCTAGCGGCTGCCTTGAAGCCGCAGTGGGATCTAAATCGATGAATGTTGACGGAGTGGAGTGTATCTACATTGGACCGATATCTTTGATTCGAGACATGACTCTATATGGGACTTTTTTAAAAGCATGGCGAGGGGCGTTGTCAGGAGGCTCGGGAGCTCTCGCCAGTGGCATATCGTGCCCATTCGAGGCACCGAGGCCTAGGAATCTATTTGGGACTGTCCCTGTCAAAAAAGTTCACATATAAAATATCAGTCGGGGAGCTTGTTCCCCCACCCGAAGATCCCTGTGGTCGTCGGTGAAAACGAAACCAAAGGGCATAACCCGTGATTGGATGGTTGACCGATTCCAGGGTCGACTCTGATCCTCTTGCGGTTGTTGTGCCCTTGTACGGAATTCATGCGAGGTGCATGATGCCTCTCTTGAAGCTCAGATTCTTCTTCCAAGTTTCCCCCGAATGGGCGCCGAATAGGCCAATGAGCCAAGAGAAAGTGGTTCGTGGTGCGGCAATGAGCTGGAATTGGGTAGTTAGCAGCTTTTGGCATGAGGAAGCGCAGGCGCAGAGCGGATATCAAGATCCAGATCCCAGCAAGGAGTACTCGATACTGGTAGAAATCGGCGCCCCGCAGGATTGGCATGTCCCAAGAGCCCAACATGAACCCTGGTATGGAGCGATTGTAGTACGAGACCTTGGCATCGGGGCAGGGTGTGTATCACATTGCCAGACGAGGTGGGCAGTATTTTCGTCGTGACAGCGGCAGTCTCACATAATCGGGTCAGTCTGTGATGCATTGAGCACTCAGATTGGAGCGTTGGAGCCGTGGAGAAGGTCCCAAAGCTGCAAAGAGCCGCCATCGAGAACTGTCGGGACGGGTGGGATGGTTGTACTTCCGCAGTCTAGGGTCCTTGGTGTCCATCATTGAGGGGACGATCATCTACTTGTAGGGAAGCAGTTACGCCCAGTTTTGGTCTCGAAAGCAGACGTTCGACCGTACGAATCTCTGAAGGAACGGAAGCTCGGCTCTGTGATCTTTGGGGGAGATGAAAATCTTCACAAAGTGGACAAGTACTGAAGACTCTGCATGTAACGATGGTTCGGCCTCAGAGAGCTAGGCTATATTCCGTCCTTACTAGTCCTCCTAGGTACCTAAAGGACCAAGGAGTCCCAAGGGTAACAAGCTCCAGAGGCCCCTAAACTCTTTTGTCGGAGGTCATGTTCCAGCTGGTGCCAGGGCCCGCCATCCTGCAAGTTCCTGGCACCACTACTGAGTTACTGGTAAGTTTAGCATGCGGCTTACCCAATAATAATTTACACAGGCCCCACCACAACCATCACAAGCCTGAGCCATGATTCCTGAACTATTGACTGTTTCCCCCTCTGCGGCCTCTTTCTGTCTCAGGCTCGCCACTTGCTGCGCCCTCCACCTTCAGCAGCTCAATTCTTCCGTCTCTCCAACGTTGAACATGTTTCCCTGCGTCTTCATCTCGGAGTCGCAGCATTATACATTCTCCCATCTTACTGTATACACCCCCTGTCAGATCTGATCCCGTTAAGAAGTCACTCCTCGTTGTCATCATCATCATCATTATCTTCTCCCTGCATGTATTATTGGTCTGGCAAAGGGACCACACACAGCCCTCGCGTCCAGACACTTCAATTCGCCCTCCGTCTGCCACTACCCTTTTTTTTAAACCTGCAGCTGACGGGCAACATTGAGACTCGAACACCTTGTCACTGGAACTTCTTGATATAATAGAGTTCAATCCCTTCCAACGTTTTGGAGAATATCTGGTAGACCAGCAGAAGCTGGTGTGGCTACGCGTTGAACGTCTCCCATCACGTCCGCTTGTTGCGGCAGGCATTGTTTCCCATAGACACCTACTCCAGGATTTCAATCCACAATGTCGACTGGTATGGACACACGCTCCATGTGAAGGCGGCTCTCAGGCTAAAAGATGATAGATACCAGCGCGACCGACTCGGTCATCACGACAATTATCGGCACGACTTCGACCAGCCTCACTACCTCGTTCTCTACCACTGTGACCGTCACAGATTCAACCTCGACCGATACCTCGATAACATCCGACACGTCCACTCCACCGCCGACTACAGTCACCTCATCCATCTCCATACCTCCCTCGACCACAGTGGTACCTGACACCAGCACTCCTGATACGAGCCCAAGCGTCATTATTGCAACAGAAACAGTCACCCAAACACCAGCATCGACCCCAGGAGGCTCTCAGACTCCTACAGTGGTTGTTGTTACCTCCACATTCTCTCCGGATACCCCGACTTCGGACACTGCTACCGCGTCGTTAACAGTCACCCCCACCACCTCATCTCCCACACCATCAACACTGAGTGCTCCAGGCTCAAGGTCCGGATCTTCAAGTGGTCTCAGTTCCGGTGCAAAGATTGCAATTGCCGTCATCATTCCGATCGTGGTTATCGCAGCGCTATTTTTGATTGGATTCTTCTGCTGGAGGAAACGGAAGGCCAGGAAGAATGCAGAAGAACTGCGTAAGAGCGAGATGGCTGAATATGGCTTTAATCCGAACAGCGATCCGACGCTCGGAGTTGCCGCGGCTCCGTATACTGATAATCAATCTGAAGGACAAGATGACACGAGTGGATATCGCGGATGGGGAGCAACATCCTCGAATCGGAAAGCTTCAACGACTCTCGGTTCCAATGGACGAGCTGCTGGCGGTCTGGCTCTATCGGAAAGCAGCAGTCAACCTGGCGGATATGCCCCCCAGGCTTCGCCGAATGCGACCTCGGATCAATACTCTGCAGATCCCTTGATGAACGGTCATCCAGAAAGCGGAGACGGCGTTGCAGCGTTGGGGACTGCGGGAGCGCTCAATCGGAATCGCAGTGGGACAGGAGACATTCGCCGCGGTCCGTCTAATGCTTCCTCGGCATACTCTGAAGGCCACCACTCTGAGGCATCTTCAGAAGCGCCTCAAATGCCTGGCCCATACTATCAGGAAGAAGTCCCTTATAATATATATAACGAAGCAAACGCCAGCCATGGCCCGTATGGCGATGGTTCATACGGAGGTACTGGAACGCAACCCGTCATACGTGACAACCAAGCCCGAAGGAACACTCGCATCGAGCGGGCACCGACATTCCCGCAAGCCCAAGGCGGGATCGCACAGAATTTCTAAAAGGCTACATCACCTGGCCATCAGGTCCACTCTTCCTCTTCTGTTGGATTCTACCGTCTTTTTTGAACTTGGGTTTGTGGGAGGTATACTCCTTTTGGAAAAAGCATTTGGGCAGATCTCTTCGGATTGATCTCCTTCACAATTTCTTTATATTTATACCCTACTCTGTTGCCCTCGCCGGAATCTGACGAATTTCTTATGGATCATGGGACATTAAGCCTGAATCTGGAGTTAAGTGACTGGTCATTCAACCGTATCATCCCCGGGTTCCCAATGGCAGCATACACATATCTCATCAGCTCGACTTTGAGCATGTAATTAAGGTGACACGGAGGGGGGCAGAGTGTGAAAGATAAGAGAGCAGTAAGGTGGTTGAACCGGTGTTGGACAGGTCGATGACCTCGTATCTATATATGTAGATAAGTTGTGGCAGAACTGCCTCGGGAGAGAAGTGCATTGTATTGCTGCTGCTACTAATACAGACTCACGAGAGTGAGCATCCACAAGGACTCGTCATATTTTGGCCTCTGTACTCATTCCTATTCACAACTGCTAATGAATCCTGAAATTCCGATGAGGCTGAGATATCAGCGCTAATCTTATCGATAAGCGGAGCCTTGCTTTGCACCTCATCCTAGTCCGGCATGTGTGTAATATATTTACTGGAAGAATCAGAGGCTTTCCATATCGGCCTTGATTCACTCCGTCGTCTACAAGATCCTAGGTCCAGCCAGCTATAGCTCTCGGCCAGTGCGAGGCCACATCTCCGCCTTTTGAGGTCCTGAACATCCTCGCAATCTAAACGGAGCGTCTCCGGTTTCCACGCAGGTTTCGGGTCCACACGCTTGAGTCATCAACGCATTGCCTCTTTTTGTGTTTTGACCTGTGCGTGACTCACTTGTGATCCTGACATCGTTGTCGACACAACTGGTTGAGGGGGGCCGAGAAGGAGTCGATATCATTTTTGCTTCAAAAAGTCTCTGAGCTCGCGGGTTTTTGGATTTCTTTCAGCCTCGAGGGTATAAGGGAAAAAATACTTGGCGTGGATTTATTTCTTGTTGCACATTGGGAAATATAGTCAGCCAGCCAGCCAGTCACCAGAAGTCGTCGTCTTTGCTCGCTACAAATCTCAAGACCCCTGCAATCCCTCCTGTACAGGCGACTCGTCATCACCGCATTTCTCCCCGTCGACAACCTCCGCTCAATCATGTCGGGCCGTGGACGAGGTCGTGGGCGCGGTGGTCGGGGCGGATTTCCTCACGACTCTCTCCCGCGCACCGTGCTGGTCTCCAAAGCCCTCTCCCGGCTCCTGCGTCATGCAGCTGTCGACGAACGCATCCCCATCGACAGCCACGGGTACGTGCGGATGGACCACTTACTGGGATGGCAGAAGCTGCGGAACATGCAGCCGCCCGTGACGTTTGCCGAGGTCGTGGAAGTGGTCAAGCAGAGCGACAAGAAGCGGTTCGCGATGAAGTACGTGCACGCTGACGCCGAGGCTGGAGGGGGAGGAACACCGACCGTCGTCGAGGCGGAAGCGGATTCGAAGACGGCGAATGAACCCGAGACGGAAACGCAGCGGGCAATATCGGTATTCAAAGCATCACTGGCTTCTTCAGGCAACGACGAAACCGTCGACACGAGGAGATTCTTCATCCGCGCCACGCAGGGCCACAGCATGAAAACCGTCGAGGCCGAGAACCTGCTCACCCCGATCTCGCTCGCTGACCCGGCCAGCATCCCGGATACGGTTGTGCACGGCACCTTTTACGGCGCGTGGGACCAGATCCTGCGCAGCGGCGGGTTGAAGAGCATGACGAGAAACCACGTCCATTTCGCGACGGGGCCTTCGTTGAGTGAGGTCTTGCCGACATCGTCTGCCGATCCTGCCATCGACGCTGCTGTCACCGCAGAAGATGATGATGTTAATGGCACCCGAGACGATAACCAAGACGACAATGACAATGAAAACGACAACAATAACGACGACGACGACGACGACGACGACGACGACGACGATAATAATACCGAGACGAAGCCCGCGCACGACGGGGAACCCCAAACAAAGGCCTCCAAAAGACAGAGCAAAAAGGCCAACAAGAAAGCCCAGTCCAAAACCCTCGGTGCTCTGCTAGGCCAGAACAAGGTCATCAGCGGCATGAGGAGCGACGCCCAGATCCTCATCTACGTGGACATCCGCAAGGCGCTGGCCGAGGCGCCGGACATGAAGTGGTGGCGGAGCGAGAACGGGGTCATCCTCTCCGACGGCCTTGTTCCTTCTTCTGTCCCTTCTGTCCCTACCGTGCCTGGTACTAGTACTGGTACCGACACTAGTACTAACAACAATACTGCCACCCCTCAGCCATCAGATACGGCGACGACGAAGACAACTACGACGACGACCGCGGACGGAGAGGAGGACGATACTAATGCTAAAGCCGCTAAACTCGTGCCTGTCGACTTCTTCCTCGCAGCCGTCGAGGTCAAAAAGGGGATTGGCCTGCTCTGGGAGGCCGGGAGAGGCTCGGTCCGCGACTTGCCTGAACCGCTACGCACGAGGCCTGTTCCGCGGGGGAAAGGCGCAGGACCCAGAGGGAGAGGTGGGGAGAGGGGCCAGGGGAAGGGGAGAGGTAGAGGGAGAGGAAGAGGAAGAGGAGGGGATATTGAGACAGAAGGGGAGAAACTCGACACTTGAGTCCTCCTGTGCGCAATCGAAATGGCATATTGGCTGCTGTTGGTGACATTGTATTGTGTAGCACAACTTCACCAGTCTTCCTCTATGGACTCTATGGACGAAGGACCGAACGAATCGATCTTCAGCCATTTCGACCGTTCGATACCTGTGAAGGCTAGGAGAACAAGCCCTGCCCGGTCCTACACCAAAGATACCTTTCTATCTATAGGCCACTGAAAAATGTGGGAGCTTCGGCTCGATTCATTCGTGATGGTTTGTTCTCCAGACCATTCATTCCGTGTGACGGATATCTCCAAGACAGACATGGACGATAGAGAGTGGTGAGCATACCCGAAAAAGGGAGTCAACACTATCAGGTCGACGAGCAGAAATGCGTAAGATTTCGACCTCCCTTTTAGCATAGTGTCCTCATCTGCTCTCACAGCCACCGTATCCTCGCTGACGCAGAGTCTCCTCGTCTACTCCTCCATTTAGAGAGAACGCTGAACGCCGCAGTCCCATAACCTGACAAGACAGAGTGTGGACTGGGAATATATCTGTTTCAAAAAAGGGTTGTGACCGAGTTCTCGGCGGGACTAGTGAGTTTCGAGCATCATGGCCCAACCTCTTCCGTCTCTCAACTTGTCCCGTCGAATGACCTCCAGTTCTTCTGTCGTTTCTCACGACATACTGAGGGTTCGGCGGAGCGATATCCCCCTATGTGTAGCCCGTTCAGCACATCTCCACGCCTTGCTTTTTGGCATTGTACCCATGGTTCACCAAGATACCACACCAGCCGTGGGTGAGCACATACTTTGCGTGCAAGCCATCGACATACACCGGAAAGGGATTTCAACGCTGTGTGGTCTAGGACACACCGTTTCTACCGAGCCTGGTTCCATAGCATTGGGATTCATAGGTGGGTCGAATAGCCTTTGATCAAGGGGGCATCGGACACCACCAAATCAACAAACCCCTTTTCTTGGTTCATTTACCAGGTGCAGGGGGAGGACCCATATTCGTCTTTTTGCTCGGAGGCAATCCAGGCACTTTAAACCCGCCGTTTGCGGCCGCAGAACTGACTTGAGTAAACGTGCCAGTTGAAAAGTAACCAGCACTCTCGGCGTCGCGCTTCCTCTTGAGCTCCGCCTGCACTTTTGGATCGACCAACTCAAGACCCTGGACGGGGGTGAAAGCAATTGAACTTGCGGTGCCGGCCCCAACACCACTGGTTCGAAGACCTTGAGCCCGGAGTGCAGTCATGTTTCCTCCACCTGCAGACCCAATGCCTCGCAGAGATGTTGTCGTTCCGTTATTCAGACTTGTCGCCGTACCAGAGACACCCCAGCCGGGGTTCTTCTTGCTCAACTTTGCCATGGTTCGACGATCGATCTGTGTGGCTCGTATTCTGCCCTCGTTTTGAGCACCAATCATCCCCAGACCCACTGTCTCCTCCCCAGTTCCGTAACCGACTTCTGCTTCTTCTTTACCAAACGCCATACGGTTCTGTTGCTTTCTGAGTTCGGTCATGGCATACGCTGCCTTCGCCTTTCGGGCTCTTCTTCCACCACGCTTTCTGCTCGGTTTGTCATCGGGTGCAGGAAGAGCCCTTACACCTCTGTTCGGTGGGGGCTCAGTCAACTTGTCGAGCCGCCGCAGACACTCGTTTAGGAGGTGCTCGCCCGTTGAGCCATCGCGGGCTTGATGGACGCTATCGACTCGGGCAGCGAGGATGAGCTTCCCAGACACGATGCGCATTGCCTGCACCCTTAAATCGTTTGGGATTTCCTGTATGAGGGGCGAATGATAGAGATATCCTTGCTGTCGGATGCCCACATTGGTGGCTAACCCACTCTGCCTCTGCCTCTTTGAACCCATAGCTGGCACGTTGCGATCAGGCGTCTTTGCCAGGTTCTTGAGCCCGCCGGCAAAGTTGAGCAATTGAGCAGCAGTCAGGGAGCCAATGAGTACAGTGAGATTCGGAGCGAAGACGTTCATCCGAGACTGCACATATTCGGTCAAGATCTTCTTAGCTCTGTCAAGCTGCAGCACCATTTCGCACGCGCGGAGGGTTGTCTCAAGTTCTTGTTCACTAAGATCTTGACCTTTGGTTGTCGTTCCTTCCACCGTGACAACCATCAGCGTTGGCCCGTCTAGGATTGACCTCAGAGGAGCCCCGACAATATTATCACTAGAATCTGCTAGACTTTTGATGTTGTCCACAGGCCCATTTCGGACGATTGCGACCGTTTTCGCATAATCTATCGGGTTGGCCACGAGGGTTTCTAACTCTGGGAATCGTGCAGAGTAATGGTCGCGAATGAACTTGTGGACAAGAATGATTTCGCTGTCAATCTGTGTGGACAGGGAATTGGCCTGGGTCAAGAGGGCGTATTCTGGGTTATCTTCGACTGAGCCAACGGTCGTCGTCCGTTGATCAGGTGGTATGTTCTGGTAATGTGCGATTTTCTGTAGGGTGGACGAACCGTCAGGGCTGTATTCAAATCGTGTAAACGGACAAGGCTATGATATGTTTTGGAAATAGCAAGCTCTTACCTCGAGAACTGGTTCCAAAGTCTTCATCAGACCGGCCACGCTTCGGACATCACGAACGCCTCCCAGTCGCATCTTTTCCACCTTAGCCTTGGTATCTTCTTCATCGTCTACACCCTCTGCGGCTATAGCGGATGCCTTCTGAGCAGCGACTTCTTCCTCGGCATCTTCCAGTTCTTCGTCACTGTCGTCGCCATCCCGCTGTACGTTGTCGGTCGCAGATCCCAGGCCGTTCGCGTGGTTTGCTTCATCTCCATCCTGAAAATCATTGGCGTTGTCGTTGTCGTTGTTTTCGTCGCCGGAGTCCTCAAAGTCATTGAGCAGCTCGTCGGCCAGGGTCGCCATCGCCGCGCAGGTGCTGAGAGTGGTGTGGAAATGACTTGGGCCCTGTTGAGGCTTTGTTTGAACTCGAAGGTAAATGCGGAGTTGAGGGAGAAGCGCAGTCCGTACGAGGAACATGCTTTAGGCAGCGGAAACCTTGGCAAAATTTCTCCGCAGTCGAGACCTCGCCATCACTTCTGTACGAAGACAAAAGTTTCGCAGAAACATTCCTCAAGTATTCCATGTGTCCAAACCACGTCCCATCCCTCCCGTACCGGGTTTCAGTCCCCTTCTCGCTCTTGAATCTCAAAGACACGAACTGCGCTCAGTGATTTGTTCCGATCCCACCTTACAACTCCCAGTTCCGCCTACTACCAGCAAGATGGATTCTACGAGAGGCCCTCCCAGGGTCAAAAACAAGGCGCCTGCTCCGCAGCAGATCTCAGCTGAGCAGCTTCTACGGGAAGCTGTCGACAGACAAGAGCCTGGGCTACAAGCACCAACCCAGCGCTTCGCCGACCTTGAAGAACTACATGAATTTCAGGGCCGGAAGCGCAAGGAATTCGAGGATTATGTCCGGCGCAACAGAATCAATATGAACAATTGGATGCGCTATGCGCAGTGGGAACTGGAGCAGAAAGAATTTCGCCGGGCGAGATCGATCTTCGAGCGGGCGTTGGACGTGGACAGTACAAGCGTGGTCCTGTGGATTCGGTACATCGAGGCGGAGATGAAGAATAGAAACATCAACCACGCCAGAAATCTGTTGGACAGAGCCGTAACAATTCTCCCCAGGATCGATAAGCTTTGGTACAAGTATGTCTACATGGAAGAGACTCTTGGCAACATCGCCGGAACGAGACAGGTCTTCGAGAGATGGATGAGCTGGGAGCCAGACGAAGCAGCTTGGCTGGCTTATATTAAACTGGAAAAGAGATACGGAGAGTACGATCGTGCACGCGCCATATACGAACGCTTCACCATCGTACACCCGGAACCGCGCAACTGGATCCGCTGGGCCAAGTTCGAGGAGGAAAACGGGACCAGTCAGTTGGTTCGTGATGTTTTTGGTGTTGCTATCGAGACCCTCGGTGAAGACTTCATGGATGAGAAGCTTTTCATAGCGTATGCTCGCTATGAGGCCAAACTCAAAGAGTACGAGAGAGCACGCGCTATCTACAAGTATGCATTGGACCGATTGCCGCGGTCTCGATCCGAGGCACTGCACAAAGCATACACTCAGTTCGAGAAACAATTTGGAAACCGCGAAGGAGTAGAAGACGTGATCATTGCTAAGCGACGGGTGCAATATGAGGAGCAGATCAAAGCCAACCCTCGAAATTACGACGTGTGGTTCGACTTTGCACGTTTGGAAGAGACCGGCGGCGATGTGGAACGGGTACGAGACGTCTACGAAAGGGCAATCGCTCAAATTCCGCCTTCACAGGAAAAACGACACTGGCGGAGATACATCTATCTCTGGATCTTTTATGCCCTGTGGGAGGAAATGGCGAACAACGACGTGGAACGGGCAAGGCAAGTCTACCAGGAATGCCTGAAGCTGATCCCACACAAGAAGTGGACGTTTGCCAAAATTTGGATCATGAAAGCGCAATTTGAGGTGCGGCAAATGCAGCTGACGGCAGCGAGAAAGACACTGGGACAAGCTATCGGCATGTGTCCCAAGGACAAGCTGTTCCGGAGCTACATTGAACTGGAGAAACAGCTTTTTGAATTCGAGCGGTGTCGGACGCTGTTTGAAAAGCAGATCGAATGGAACCCATCCAATAGCCAGGCTTGGATTCAGTTTGCAGAGCTGGAGCGCGGACTCGATGATCTAGAACGAGCGAGAGCGATTTTTGAACTGGGCATCGAGCAACCTATGTTGGATATGCCCGAGCTGGTTTGGAAGGCATATATTGATTTTGAGGAGTACGAAGAAGAGTACGATCGAGCCCGCGCTCTGTATGAGCGGTTGCTGAAGAAGACGGACCACGTCAAGGTCTGGATCAATTATGCACGCTTTGAAATCAATGTGCCGGATCCCAACGAACCCGAACCAGCAGAAGGCGAGGAGCAACGGGTTAGCGAAGATGCAAAGAGACGGGCACGCAAGGTCTTTGAACGTGCCCATGACTTGTTCAAGGCGAAAGAAATGAAAGAAGGGCGGGTGGACCTGTTGAATGCATGGCGCTCGTTTGAGCAGACGCATGGGTCGGCCGAGGACATTGAGAAGATCGAGAAACAGATGCCTCGTAAGGTCAAGAAGAGGAGAAAGATCGAGGAGGATCGGTTCGAGGAGTACATTGACTATGTCTTCCCGGCCGACGATGAGAGTGCGGCCAAGATGTCCAAACTGTTGCAGATGGCGCATGCGTGGAAGTCGAAACAGCAAGCGAACGGCAGTGCTGACAGCGCTGAGTGAAGGCAGGCCATCTCTGCAACTAGGGATGTAACTCTAGAGGGCCTGGAGTAGGCGTAGGTTTGGTGGCTTACAAGAATCGAGTAAAGTACAACGGTTGTGAGGCATGGTAATATGTCATTGTGCAGATGAAGCTTGGTGTAAGTACTCGGTACTGTTGATGGGCGCAGTTACAAATCCAGTCTGGTAGCTGGGGGCACTGGGCAGGGGCGCCGGTGTGGGGAGGGGGCAGGGGGACAGGGGCGAGTCCATGTTTGCCATGGCACTAAGGGAATGACTGTTGATACTACTACGAGGTACTAGGGACCTGCTCCGTACGAGTACGAGATACTCAGTGCTACTACTACAATCGTCTATTCAGCGCCTCGTCCTCACACCTCCTCTGCTTCTGCCTGCTTCTCCCACCAACACATCAGTGCCACCATCTGGCTCGCTTTCTCTCCCCTCTCCCCTCCAACTCTCTTACAAGCAATGTACATTGCCGAGTGACAGAAATTCCCCTTCATCTTCGGCTGTTGCAATTGGTGACACTCTTGTTCCGCTCTTGTTGCTTCCACTCAACTTGGCTTCTTGGCTCGTTGGTTCGCTAACCCCCTGGATTTGGGGCAGCTTCGTATTCGTCGCCTCTCTCACCCCTCTCCCCCCTGCTCGGTGCCTGGCTTACCTCTTTGGTATCTGTACCTGCAGCACGCGTCCCGAATGTGGAGATCAAGTGTCCTCAGCGCAGCCAATTATCGCGCTTGGAGGCGACTGCATGAAACACCCTGATCACCTCTGCTCCTCTCCGTCACTCCAACCAAGTTGGATTCCCGCCCTCACACAGGCTTTGCGTGTGACACGTCAAGGCGAGATGACCGTCCCAAAAATGGAGGAGATGGACAAAATTGTGTGGCTATTCTTACGCGGATGTTTGGAAAACGACGAAGAGACGGGACTATGATAGCCGCTCTCATTCCCAGCCACGCACTGATCAATGGTCACCCTTCACTCTCGACACGGCTTTACGGTGCCTTGCAGGGAGCTATGTCTACTCGGTAGAGGCACAGTGGCTCGGAGCCTATCCGCCCAGTCTTTCAGTCTCTGCGCCGCCTGCTTGCGCTTCTAAAGGCTTCTTTCGTGTTTCTTTCTGACACTGGTACCTCGCTTCCCGCAGTCACAGTCACTAGCTCCCAACTGTCGCGCCCAGAGACTTGCTACCGTCCGTTTTCTTCTCTCTCCCCTCTGAGAACTGGTCCCTCTTCTCTTCTGCTTTTCTCCCTTCCTCGCCAAAAGGTATTGTTCACTTGCTACATCCCTCGAGCTCGATGAGCGAATGCTGCCTACCCGCAAGTAATCTATTCAGTTTTTCCCTTCGGGTCTAAGTCCAGGACCGATCGACATTGCTCTGTGACAATCCCACGAGCAAAGCTGTTCCACCGACCCACAGACCCTCGGACCAAGCCAAACCCAAGGCCCGCCTGCGTTGCACCGCGACTGAGCGCCTCTTCAAACCGACTCCCCTCTGCAGATTTCACCCTCATAGAACCATCCTCGCAGTACTTGCACAATTCTGCCCAAGGCTGTCTAGTCGCAATTGAATCTTTGGCAACTATCTGTATCACGCCTCGTTGCGCGTCGAAAGCGACCTTTGAGAGGTCAACATTCGCATTCAACCAAACCAGCGACCGCTCTTCCCTCTGTTGAATCGACATCTGACTGCGAAGACGCCCTCCTGCGTTGGACTTACGCTGCGCCTCGTTGTCTTGCACCGGCTTCGCACGACTGCCCCGAAAGCAATCCGGTCTTCGTGAAAAGACATAATATACCTTTGCTTTTTCAGGAGCGAGCAAGATCAGGCCACGTCCCTTCAGCCAGTCCTTGGCCCGTCCAATCCGTTGTCGAGTTCATCGCCAAACAACACCGAAGTCCTATAAAATATACCTGCTCGACTTGTTTCGAGGAGAAAATGCAACTCGAATCTTGACGCTTCGCCTGCGCCTTGCGTCCGGTGACCGATTATCCCCTTGGACATGTCAGCACCCAAGCCTCCTGTTGCAATCAAAAACCATTGCTCCGTTATTCATGACGGTGTCATTTACGTCTACTCGCCAGACGCGTTTCAGACCTTGGAGCTGAAAGAGGGCGCAAGGTGGAAAGAAGAGGCAAATGGCGTCTCAGTAACTGGGGCGGTATGCGTGAAAGGTGGCGTGGATGGCGACAACTCCAAGACGGCCTTGTACGTGGTGGGTGGTGCAACGAATGCGTCGACAACGGACTATACAGGGTTGCAGCGGTATTCTTTCGGGGACAAGTCCTGGCAAACCGTTGTTCCTGTGGTCAACGTCACCCAAAATCGTCTGAATCATGGAGCGGCGTATATCAACTCTTCGTCGACTTTGGTCGTCTATGGGGGATCTCAGAATGACAATGCTGGACCATCCTCAGAGACCTTCACGATTGGTCTTTTTCCTCCCTACTCAGTGCTGGCATACAGCTCGACTGCGCCACCGACAGTCAGCCCTTTCATGCTACCATGGAGCCAGGACCATACTCTGATGGTAGGCGGCAGCTCGACCAATGTCAACCTGTTCACGTTTGGTTCTTTAGATGGCTGGCAGGACATTGGTCTTACACTGCCGGCTCCTCTACCGGACCATTCAATAGCACAGAGCGCTTTATTTACCCTGGCCGACAACAGCATGGTTCTACAAACATTTGACCTTGGTCAGGTTCCACCCACGGTGACGACAAATGTTCTGTTGAACCCAGGAGGTGCCCCTGCCGCGTTTGGTGAGACCGTGGGAGGTACCGTGAATACAGAAACACCCTCGCCTTCGTCGACAACTCCCTCCAAGGCAAAGAGGCAAGTATCGCTTGATGCCTACCCGAGCTATAATGGCACGCTGGCGCCCACGGCGTCTCGGACAGGATTCGATCTAGCACAGGGGGACGACGGACTGGTGGCGCTAGTCGGTGGTAATGACGACAATCCAGTGGTATTCTTTAATCAATCTGGAAATGGCTGGATTGCCGCGACCCAGTTATTTGGAAAGCAGCAAGAGCCGCTAGCAACGTCGAGTGGAGTACCCTCGCAGTCACCGACTTCAAGCACGCCAAGTCTCACCTCTGCTTCCACGGCATCGACCAGTGCAGCCGCAGCGGCCTCTTCTGGTAACAAGAACCAAGGCTTGACCGTTCTTGGAGCGGTCCTAGGTGGTCTCTGTGGTCTGTTAGCAATCCTTGTCATCCTCCTCCTTTGGCTGAGATCAGTTCGAAGGAGCCGGAAGGCAGAATCTGCTAAAGGACACGAGTACCCAGAAGACAAGAAAGGAAGTGGAGAGTACAACTATGAAGAAAGAGGGCTTCAACCGCTAGCAGGGTATGGACAACCCATGGGAAGAAGCCCGATTCCTTCAGCAGTTGTCCCCGATGGAGATAGTACATCGATGTTTGGGGACATGAAGCCCGAACCAGCACTGCTTAACAGACGACTTTCTTCAGATGATGCTCCAAGCGGGTACCGTGGGTCAGGAATAGGGTTTGGGCAGGCATTGTTCAAGCGCGAGAGAGAGAGAGACAAGGAGAAGGAGAAGATCAGCCTCTCCATATCCAAACCCATGATGCCGATCTTAAACGATTACCAAGGCAGACCAAGCATTGAACTTGGGAAAGCCACCCCCCCCGGCGCACCAGTAGCATCTGTGGCTCCCGAGAGAAAGGCATCTCAACGCAAGACTGACGAGGGATGGGGTAAATACTTCCAGGGCGAACCGCTTTCTGGAAACCGAACAACGTTCCTCTCCCGGAGTTCTGGTGCCAGGAGTGGGTTCTGGCCTGGATCTGGTGTCCTGGAAAACTCAAGCAGGTCTCCCAAGTTCGTCCTTCGTGACAGTGTGGGCAATCCTCTGGAAGCGCAGAATGTTGCAGCCGGGAGTCCGAATCTTGAACATGGACCCTCCAACCCTGAGTCGAGGGGGTTGCAGTCTGTCCAGGGTATGTCAGGACAAATTTCCAATGCTAGCTCTGTGCGAACGGCACGTTCCACTGATGACGACGATGACGACGACGACGAATATGAAGATGAGCAGATCTTCGAGGGTGCATTCTCGAGTGGAATCCCTGACAGCGTGCATGACTCGCCCTGGACACCAGTGGGAAATACATGGTCGGGGCCGCCGCAACGGCCACTGCGACCTCCAAGCAGTTATCTTGCTGCTCAGCAGGCACAGACACAGGTGCCACGTTCTCCTCCCACTGTAAGCTCAGATGAGCCCAGCGATAGCACTGGGACATTGGGCTCATCAATCCCCTCTTTCCCGATGCCTAATTCGATTCGGTCTGGTCAGCCAGGTTGGAAGGAAGCGACTATCAACAAAGGAAGTACAACGACTTATCAACAGTCCAGCAGACCCAGTTATGAACAGCCAACCCAGACAGCAACACACGACTATTTCAGCTATGCTCCAGCTCATAAACGGAGCAACAGTCGGCAACTGCCAGATAACCACGCCAACGTCAACACGGATATGTCCTGGCTAAACCTTGGCACGCCGGGCCGGTGACTATCCAGCCGGTTCTCGAAGGTACTGTACCAGTTCCTGCTCGATGACGTTGCTAGGAAGCCACCGGGCAGCAAGGCGTCGCGAGTGAGCAAGGAAGACGGATCTTTTGAGGGCCACGGTGGGGTCACCGACTCGTCGACGATGACGACCAAGAAGCAGAAGCATATTGACTTGTTTCGCACAAAGTCAACGCCGAAAAACCGCTCACGTGCGTTTCATTACCCACTGCAGGCGGTCAAAAGGGACACGATCCAGGAAGGCGAGATATGGGAGGATGAAGAGTTGCCGCCTGATCCTGACAGCCCCACGATCCCCCCTCGCGTGGCATTGGCCACCAGGGAATCGATGAGGAGTGCAGGGACAAGGACCAGTAAAAGGCTGACAATGTAAAAGATGGATGAGACGAAACCGCTCGCTGGCTAAGGGAGAAGGGATGCAGGCACAAGAACAAGCAATAGAAAGACGGTGTTTGTTTGACCCTCAGATCTCGGACGATTCCAGACCAAGAGCGACGTGAACAGAGCCGACACAACCGGCAAAGTAGCTGGATATGAGGGCGACGACGTTGCTCAGGCAACTGTTCAGAGACACCCAGCAGCCGTGACGACGCCGACGATGGATGTGTGTCTATGTTCGAACTCATGTACTTGTGTACGATACAGCCAGAGCTGACATAAAAGGTAGCAAAGCGATAATGTTAATGATTTCGTAGTCAACACCCAAATTACACCTTGCGCGTCTCTGGAATTCCATCCTTTGTTTCTCTAGTCTCGCACTACGTAGGGGGGCACTATTATTGACGGAGTTGCTCTGCGTTTGCGGAGCAAAGTCATCCATTTCCATGAGGTAAGAGTTTTTGAATGATGGACAAGTCGGAAGAGGATACATCACGGCGAGAGGAGATGCCACGTCCGTCTTTCCAATTGACCATGCAATGCAGGACAAAACTTGCCATGTCGTTTGAGGAGCGCGAATCAGACGACAGGATCGACGCGCGTGAATCAGTGGAGTGGGTGGTGTTGGTGCCCGGCAAGGCCTGGCCGGAGATGGCGTAACATGGGGGCAGTGTGGACTCTTGAGAAAGACAAGTATCAAGTAGATTCTCCTTCCGCCATCATGCATGTCTGTACCTCGTCAATAGCTTTTTGTGTCTTTTGTTCCCCCGCCTGATGGTGGAGAAGTTTCCGCAGAATTTATCCAGGAGCTGCAAAGGTTGCCGTCAAGCCGGGTGGCAGAGATGGGGAATGCCGGGCATCGACGGCGAGCATGACAGAACCGCCAGGATTGATATACCCGTGCGGTTGTAACACGTGCCGGAGGGACAAGCGGGCAGGAGTCTAAGGATAGTAGCAGGGCGTGAGGCAGTATGGAGGTGGAGTATTTCCCTTTGTGTAGCCCGGTTCTAGACGGTTGATCAAGGATCAGCTGAGCGATCGGACAGGTTTGTCTTACTCCATAATCATCATCATGAAATTCTCTTGCTCTTCATCCTCGATTCAGTATTACCACATAATGCTCCGGGGGGCCGAGGGTGATGAATCAAGGAATTGGGTAGGCAGGGTGGCGTCGACGTTCAGACGAGGCGGATCATGACGTTGAGGCCTTCTCGGCGACGAGGCTGTTCGTTGCTTGGCTCGGCCAGGTGAACAGGTGAGCAGCTTCGGGACTGATCATGACATTATTAGGATGTGGGAGAAATGGGTTAGTATCTTGAGGGTCTTCCCTATCTCATTCTCCGCGCCGCGATAGAACTTCTTTCGGGGACGTGGCGACTCCTCCGTCTTTGCCCGTATCAAATAGGTTCTGGCTTATCTTATGCGAATCCGAAGATAACGAGCCCACCTGGTTCAACCCGACTGGTAGGACGATGCGAGTGGTTGTTGGATGCGCTCTAGGATTTTCTAGTGTGGTCGCGGCGTCAAGAAAGGAGGAGTTACAGTTTGACTGTCTTCAGAGATGAATACACGAAGAGACGGGTACGCGGAGAGGGGTTTGCGCAGACGACAGGAGAGTTAGTTTGAGGAGTTGGTAAGGAAGACTCGATGCTGTGAATCATGCCCATGTGTTGGCGTTGAACGCGCCTTATTGGATGCTGGACTGAAACCCCACCTACCCTGGTCTCAGCCCAACTGCTCAACTTGCAGCCTGTCAGAGTGCAGATCTTTAGCCACGCGGCAACCCCCAGAGTCCCTGCTCATAGGCCTATCAAGTCAAGGAGAAGTGCCCCGGGAGGCATCCATTTGGTGCCTGGTGTCGGTTTGTACATGAACCCGTGATGGTTCTATCATCCCAACTTCCGACCAGCCGCTCCACCGATTCCCGGAGCGTGACTAGTGACGGGTGGGGGGGTTCAACCAGGTCACTGTTCAGCTGGCCAATTCCCCATCCCATTTGTAGGCACTCCGTCCAGGTTTAGTGGCTGAATTGCCCTTTGTTCCTCGAGGTTGCCGCCCCTATGACTGATAATCTAACCAAGTTTGCTCCCCATCGGGCCTTGGAACCTGCTCGTGGGCAAGGGTTTTGGGGGAGCCTAGCCGTGTCATAGGCAGCCTCCCAAGACTTCCAGGTCCTCGCCATTCCCCCCCATTCCTCGCCTTTTCATCTGCAACTCTGCATGTTATTACAACAAAACCAAACATTACCCAATCTGTCTACCAACCAAATCGGCACCTGCACCTGCACACTGCGCACTGCACCACCAACTTCGCCCACCACCCCCGCTTTGTTTATCAGAACATCCATTCACTTCCATCGTCTTGTCTTTCTTTCTTCTCCTCTACATCTTCCTTATCCAAAGGGAAGATTTCGCTTCAACGAGAGACAACCGTTTAGGTCGTCTCTTCCCGCCTCGCTCTGACTCACAAGCTCACCACCCTGCGTCACTGACCTTGCAAATCGACTTTGGTCTGAGATAACCTGACCACTGCGCAACAGCCAAACCAAGTGCCCTCAACTACCATCAGATCCGATAAGAGCTATCACCTCTTGTATCCGTCGAATATTGTCAAGTGGTGAGTCATAGCCGTGTCTCTATAATCACTATCTGGGGCCTCACCCCTGTGACGCGTCGCGATGTCTCCCTTATATCACTGGCTGACTCATAATCGTATAGCATCCAAACGCACGAGAATTCTTGTCGCAGCATATCAAGAACCATGGCTCCTCAATCTGTTTCGGCCCTGGGCATGGCCCTCAACGGCAAATCCGCATCTGTCGATATTCCAAAGCCTCGCGATGCCCTCAAAGGCCGGGACAACTTCACTGCTGTATCGGCCAACTCCAAGAAGCGTGCTGGCATGTTGCCAACGCCTCCAAACTCCATATCTCCGAACCTCCTGCCGCGTGGCCATAGTCGTCGAGACAGTAACCAGCATGGTCCCCTGTCACCCAAGAGCACGGCGTTGGACTCAGACATCGACCTGCAAGATGTGCCCGACAACCCTAAACCCACCGCGTTGAGCGCTGAGGCACTCGACAGTCTGGGTGACCTGGACTCGGCAGGCGCCATCACCCCGAACATGCTGGCAAAACATCATCTCCCAGACATCTTGCTGTCTCATGGTCCTTTGGCCATCAGGCACATCATGGGCTATCTGACGACCTCAGTGCCCGGCTTCTCACGTATCACTTCAGCCAAGGCGCGTCGCCTGGTCGTAGCGGCACTTGAAGGCAAAGGTGGTGGTGGGCTCGAAAGCGCCGGCCGCGACGGAGACGTGATATTTGAAAAGGTCGGATGGGGGCGATGGGACGCTCGCATGAAGGGCCAACCACCCCGTGAGCGTCACGGCTCTACCATCACTCCTCCAGGAAGTTTACCATCCTCCTACTCCCACTCAGGCCTCCAAGTGCCGACCCAACGTTCCTGGCGTACAGGGTCGGAAAACCTAGGGACCAGCTACACTGGCAATTCGGCGGTCTTCTCCCACTCGGAAATGGATTATGAGGATCAAGACATGCTGGAGCACGAAGCCGATAAAATGTCCTTGGATAATGACGATGACGGCTACGTCTCTTCGGTCGCCCCTGAACCTCTTGACGAAGACCTCGGTGATGGGGAGATGACAGACGAGGAGGACTGGGCTAGCATCGGAGCCGCCGCACTTCGAGCCAGGTCTCTTCCCAATCAAGGCAGATCGGTTTCTGGTCCAGGCAGACTATATCAACCCATTGCGACCTACTCTTATCGACCAAGGTATCGGTCCAAAACACCAGCCGAGATTGCGCACACTGCCCCGACCAACCCGATCCCCGTGAACCACTCGACCAGATTCACATTTCCCAATGGCGCTGGCGTTAATGATTCTCAGGAACGAGCTGCTATCGAAGCTCTCCTGAGTCTGGGATCTATGTAATATTATGATGACCTTTTGGAGACACGGCCGTTTCTTTCTGGAGGACGATCGACGTACAATTTGGCCCGCATTCGACATGACAAGCCCCTTTGAGGGTGCAGCGGCACGGATTGATCGCGCTCCTTGCACCTTCTTGATGGAGGTCACGCATTTTTTGGGCGTTTTGGGAATATCTTGTCACGACACCACACTCCACTGATGAACGATCTTTGACGACCTTGAGCCGCTGAGCTAAGCTGGCTCGGTTCGGGTGGATTATCCCTTCTTTCTGTTTATCTTTACTCACAGCTGTGGAAGCTGGCATTCAACTTCACTTCTACGCAGATCGCAAGGTCGATCTCAGCCTTTGACGACCTGACAACGATGCCTTGATCAACCAGCACGTTGGCGGCATATGGCACTTGGTCTGATGATATTTCATTTGTAATGCATGTTTCAGCTACCGCTTGAGAGCGGGAGCACCCAGAGCAGGACTGGGAAGCTCACGTTTCCGACAACTGCCAAGGACGAAAAAGGGATGATGAAGAGCACGCAGCTCGTCTTGCAGGGGCTCTACTCGCCGGTCCTCTTTATTGATCGTACTGGGAATATTGGTTCTGCAGCTCTGTCATATTAGCTTATTGCACGGAGTGATGAGTGCGTCGCACCGAGATTTGTCGTCTCTCGACTGGTATCTTGTCTCGACATATGGTAATGACGCCGATGATAGGTATTGAGGCAACAGGGTATACCCGCTACAATAACTACATCAAAACTATTTTCTTTTGTTCATGCAGGATGGCGTGGCACATCAACTCGCCACGAGGGACGGAGCCGGAAACGAGACTGTCCTGTCGACTTTCCGGAATCGTCGCCAGCCCAAAACCAAAGATGAGAAAAGGCAGGAGGAACGAACGAGAAGAAATGCCTCGAAACGACAAGGAGGTGAACCTGAGATGGCACTGAGGATAGGTTGACTTTGGAAGAGGACGTTTCGTCTTGTTGATGTACTTCTTTTTGTCCTGGATTTTGGCTTCAGTCGACCTGGTGTTTCGGCAACTCTACTCATATTGGCTTTTGAGTGATGTGCACGAAGGGGAGGAAGTGGGAGTGGGAGTTGGAGGAAGGGAGAGAGGGAGACGGAGAGAGAAGAGGCCATACGTGAGGGCGAGATGCTGTCTGATGGGTGTGTTGCGGGGCTCAAACTGGGTTCCAAGTATGCGTGAGACGTGATTCGATCACTCAGTATCCCAAGACTGAAATGGTTGTGATCAAGATTGATATCTCGTAGTGTCCACGCAATCCCAATAGGACCAGTCAAATGAAAATCATCTCACCACGACTCGTTGAAGAAAGAAATGACTTCTCTCCCCCCTTCTCCTTTTCTCTGTCCTACAAAGCCGAGCACGAGCACCAACCTCCCTAGCTACAAGGACTCGGGTACATTTTGTCTGTGGCAACCCCTCTGACTCTCGGGCCGGACCGGACCGGCCCCTGGCGAAGCTACGGATGAGGAAAACTCCAAAGAAACGAGCAAGACGAGCAGAAGCGAGGGGACTCGTGTCAGGTCGTATATGCCTGTTCGCAAGGACAGACTGCGAGGCGTGTCAAAGTATCCTACAACTCTGAGAGAGATTGGTCACTTCTTTCTAGGAATGATATCGTAACATTCTAATATCGATCTGAGCAAAATAGCGAAATAAAAGGAATGACTACGGGTCAATCAATCCACATCCCTCCATCCCTCCTCCGACAAAACAAGCAGTTTCATTGTCTGTCCCCTTACTTCTGGTGACGTCGCCACAATCGACCTTTGGTTCCTCGGTGTTGAAAGAGAGCATATGTCGTAAAATCATTCCCTCCTCTCCCTCTCCTCCCTCTTGGTCTCCAAAAGTAGTCCCAAGATCCTCATTCTCTGGCCAGGCTGGAGACAGATATTTCCGCACCTAACCTATTTCACTCCACCTTGACCTTTTGGTCCTTTCATTCTTCTGTCAGAGTCGTTCAGACTCCATCAAAACGGTGGCACTACATGCACCACGCGTCGAGTGATATGTCCATTTGACGGTGTTCCACCTAAGCCAGACCAAAGCATGCTTTCCTAACTTGATGATGGATGGGGATGTTGCAACTGATCCATCAGAACAGCTGGGGTGGCCCTCGATAGAGCCGACCCGTGGTGAGAAACATATAGTCCAACAGGGCAATTTACACCGCCAGAAGCACACGCCGTCGGCCTCGTCGTCACTTTCGTGGTCCTCAGCCTCGTCATCATCCGAGACGACGACTCCACCGCGGCGTCTTTTGGCACTTTTACCCGTGCTTTTCAGCCCTGAGGCCGTCCCGGCGTCAAAAGGTTCGTTGCCATCGTCATTCGTACTCTCATGATGCTGGTGTCGGTGCTGGTATTCATGCTCATCGTGTTTGTCGTGACCGTCGTTCCGTCGATGGTTCCGTTCATTCTTGAAGATGCCCTTCGTGAATATTCTTAAGGGAGTTTCAACTCGATTCCTCCAGGAAAAAGTAGTTCCCGGATAGTTTCTGCTCTTGGTCCAATTGGGACTGGTACTTGTTGATACGCGGACGGTACGAGTTAGGGTCCCGACGGAAGGTGACATCCAAATTCTTGAGGAACTTATTGCAGCCAGTCAGTAGGGATTCGGGTGTGTTGGCACGGGCGTCCACAGATGGTTTGCCGTCAAACACGATCACACGGTCGGCAAGGTAGGTGGCCATGATGAAATCGTGTTCGACAATGAAGGCAGTCTTCTTGCTGTGCATGATGAAACGCTTGATCACGCGCGCCGCTATGATACGTTGCTCAGAATCTAGGTACGCGGATGGTTCGTCGATCAAGTAGATGTCTGCTGGGAGGCCGAGTGCCAAAACAATAGCCACACGCTGCAACTCACCACCAGACAGGTTCTGCACTTCCTGGTCGATAAAGTCGTCGATCTTAAGTGGCTTGTATACATCTGTCTGGAACTGCGGGCTTAGGAAGGACGCCTTGATGCGCTTGAAGAAGAGCTGGCGGACAGTACCCTGGAACTTCGGAGTGATCTTTTGAGGTTTCATCGAAATGTTCATGGCAGGGACCTTCTGAGTGCCGTCGGGCTTCTCCACGCCAGCGAGCATTTTACAGAAGGTTGTTTTGCCTGTACCATTTTCTCCCATCATGACAATGATCTCCGAATCGGTGAACCTGCCCTTTTCGATCTTCAGGTGAAAAGATCCGAGGGTCTTTTCCATGGAGGGGTACTCAAAGGCACGGGCCTTGTCGACCATATAGTCCTCACCAGCTTCGGCGATGCGGAAGGTCAGACTTTCCTCACGGAAGCGCAAGTTCTCAGTGGGGATATTGCCGTCGAGGAAGATGTTGATGCCTTCCCGAACCGAGGCAGGAAGAGTCACCACTCCATACACAGCAGGTCTACCGTAGAGAACGCAGATGAAATCGGAGAGGTAGTCGAGGACTGACAGATCGTGTTCGACAACAATGACATAGTCGTCGGGTCGGAGAAGTTCGCGAATGGTTCTGGCGGCGCTAAGACGTTGTTTGACATCAAGGTATGACGAAGGTTCATCAAACATGTACACATCCGCCCTTTGCACGCAAACAAGGGCGATAGCAAACCGCTGCAACTCTCCACCAGAGAGAAGAGCAATCTCTCGGTCAGAGACAGCATTCAGCTCTGCCAAAATCAGTACTCATTCTGTTCTTCGATTGTAAATAGATGTTATCTGGTTACTCACCCAAGACGTCCATGATGTGGGTGAGATTGCCCAATTCAGACTTGGCTTCAATGAGCGGCTTGACCGTCTTCACGGGGCCCTTGATGGCTCGCGGTAGTTGATCCACATATTGTGGCTTGACAATGGCCTTGAGGTTGTCTTCGAGCACCTTTGTGAAATAGTCTGGTACCCCGAATTAGAAGTGCATCTCCACAAACATGGCTCTTCGTAGTGCTCACTCTGCAATTCAGATCCACGGAAGTATCTCAGAATCTCTTCCCAGTCTGGTGGGTTGTCGTAGCGACCCAAGTTGGGTTTCAACTTGCCACTGAGAATCTTCAAGGCCGTACTCTTTCCGATACCGTTTGTCCCCACCAATCCCAAAACCTGACCAGGCCGCGGCATAGGCAGTCTGTGCAACTTGAAGCTGTTTGCCGAATATCGGTGGGTGACTTGGGTTTCAAGATTTGTGGGCAGGTTGATGATGTGAATGGCCCCGAATGGGCATTTCTTGGGGCAGATGCCGCAACCAATGCACAGCATTTCCGAAATATACGCAATTTTGGACTCGGGGGTAACTTCAATGCAAAGTTTGCCTGTTCGGACGACGGGGCATGATTTCTTGCATTCTTGACGGCATTTCTAGTGACAGGGTCAGCCCTGGTATCTCTGGGATCGGGGTGTTGGTGGTGGATTGGCTCACTTTTGGCTTGCACTGCGGGGCAGAAATTGAAATGTTAGCAAGATACAAACGGCAAGGCACAGGCGAGGAGAGGCCCCTCCCACCTTGTCGCTGTTGACAATGGCAATCCTTGAGACTGGTCAGTATACGATGACCAAAGTACCGCGGAATGAGAGCATACCTCGTCAATTTGTCCGACATGGTGACGTTAATTGAGGGCGATGGCTTTCGAAAGATGTAGTAGTGGGTGACGACTGAAATCAACAATGCTGCGAGGTGAAAAGAATTCTGAACGCTGAGAAATTGTGGGAATGAGTTACCGTCAACAATAGCAGTAGCCAACTGACCAGCCAGGTGGCTATTGTGGTTTGTTGAGAGTGCGGTGAGTGAATGAATTGAATGAGGGCAGTGAATTGTGGACGGCCAGAAATGGTCCCTCGATGGGGCTTCATTGTGAATGACACACACAGAGGCAGTGGCCAACCAAAAAATCAAAATTCCTAGGGCTGTGATTGGATAAGGCACGCCAAGGCGCCCATGTCCCGCCTCACCTGCCCAAACCAGGGCCATATGAGGACCTGCCTGACCCTCCCCGGCGTTTGGTGAACTGGGCGGTTGAGGCGGCGAGTAGGTCCTCCCTAAACCTACCTAGGTAACTCGGCCACTCAATAACTGGCTAGGCCTGGAACAGGTCCTTCCCTGCCGCTTGCCCTGTCAAACTGCGCTTGCACTTCCTCTTACTTTTTACCCCAAAGCCTCGTCCCTCTCGTCTCGTGTGAGCCCATATTTCTCTCCATCCACACCCACCACAATCTTTCCAGACCACTTCTATATACAACGTCTATTGCGACCTTGAAAGACCTTCAGGTGCCTGATGGGCTCTGTCTGTTGATGATGGAGTGTAAGTTTTCCCGTTGTCGTGCTGATTCTGCTCGTCCCGTTTCTAGACTCGGCCGTCATTCCTTTGATCGGCGGCTGCTCGGCCTCGCCTTCAAGCTCAACGCTCCCGCGTTAAGTACAATACATCGCGGTTGGAGAAATTCTAGCAACTTGTTGGAAATGTGAAAGTCGGTTCTGCTGTGCTCTACCAGCAACGTCCTTGGCCGCGATTTGGCAGGGAAGGCTGCGCAAGAGTCACCCGACTTTGGCACACCCAAAATCATCTCGTCGTCGTCCAACTTGATCGAATTCATCTTATATTGCCCATTGTTCATCTCACGCGCACTCTACATTGCCCCTTTGAAGCTTTTCTGAATCGCGGAAGTCCAAATTACCTGGTTCCGTGGCTGTTTGAGTACCGGTCTCTTCCATATGGCCGACCTTGCTGACGCTTTGTTTCTCACAGCCTCCGGTGCCCTTGTCGAACCTCAACCTCCCTCAATATCCCAACCTTCAGCTGCCTCTGAACCTCCTCCGTCGCCGCCGGTCACCATGCAGAATGGCGCGAAATATTCAGACAGTGAGAGCGAGCTGTCGGAGCCCGCAGAGCCCGTTGCTGCCTTAGCCTCGCCGTCACATGTCGACAACGAGGATGACGACGAACACATGCCAGACCATGATGAACCCAGCTCCGATGAGCATGACGCCGAGGGTGATGCCGACTATGAGATGGATGCCTCTATGCGGGTGAATGGTGCACAAGCGGACGAAGGCCATTCTTCCTCGGACGATTCCATTAGACCTGCGAAGAGGAAAGCCCATCCAGTCGAGGAAGATGACTATATTCGGAACAACCCAGAAATGTATGGTCTGAGACGGAGTGGACGGGCTCGACACGTCCCCAACATGGCAGAATCTTCTGAAGAGCATGAATCGGACTCGGACGTTGTTGCTCGTCCCCGGAAGCGTGCGCGTCACATTTCTCAACGCTCGTCAAAGCAGCCTACCCCCATAGTCGAGTCTCCCTCCGATTCCGATGACGATTCTGATGCTTATGGCGGCCGACGCGCAAAGCTGTCCAAGAAACAGCGCCGGAGATTGTTACAGTCTGCCGAGAGCCTGACACCTCAACACGCTGAAATCCGCTTCTCCACTCGTCGAGCTGCCAAAGTATCTACTTACAATGAAGACGACGATGACGATATGTTCGAAGACGATGATCCCGAGACAATGACTCCCAACTACTGGGTCAACGGTCAAGAAGACAACTCGCCCGCCATTGACATTGTCTTAAATCATCGTCTCAAGGCTGACGTTACCACCCCAACGCACTCCAAGGACGAGTACGAATATCTTATCAAATGGCAGCAGAAAGCCTACTACCACGCTACGTGGGAGACGATCGAGTCGCTTGCTGGTGTCCGGAGCGTCCGGCGACTGGAAAACTACATCAAGAAGACCTTGATGGAAGATATTCGCAGTCAGACCGATCCCACCATCGCGCCAGAAGATAAAGAAAAGTGGATTCTTGATCGTGAGCAATACATCGATGCCCTCGACGATTACAAGAAGGTCGAAAGAGTTATTGGAGATCGCGATGGCGAAGAAGGCACTGAATACTACGTCAAGTGGAAAGGTCTCTTCTATGACCAGGCAACCTGGGAGGCATCAAGCCTAATTAGTCAGATTGCGCAAAACGAGATCGACAGATATATCAACCGCAGACGAGAAGAGTTCAAGTCTAACCAGACTGAGAGTAACGCCTCGACTCGTTCACCATTTCAACCGGTGCGGGATCAGCCATCCTACATCAAGGGCGGTACACTCAGAGACTTCCAGATGACCGGCTTGAACTTTCTTGCCTACAACTGGGTCAAAGGGAAAAATGTCGTTCTCGCCGACGAGATGGGTCTCGGCAAGACTGTCCAAACTGTTGCATTCCTGAGCTGGCTTCGACATGATCGCGGTCAGCAAGGACCTTTCCTTGTCACCGTCCCCCTGTCAACCATGCCGGCCTGGGCAGAAACTTTCGATCTATGGTCCCCTGACCTCAACTACGTGGTCTACAACGGCAACCAAAGCGCTCGAAATATCATCAGAGATTACGAGCTGCTCCCAGATGGAAACTTCCGCCATCCGCGCTTTCATGTTCTTCTCACAACTTACGAGTATGTGTTGCAAGATGCGCCATTCCTGAGTCAGATTAAGTGGCAATTTATGGCTGTCGATGAAGCTCACCGTCTTAAGAATCGTGATTCTCAGCTGTACGACCGGTTACGGGAATTCAAAGCCCCAGCTCGACTGCTTATCACCGGTACTCCTGTACAGAACAACCTCGGAGAGCTTTCTGCCTTGTTTGACTTCTTGAACCCTGGTGTTGTCAACATCGACGAGAACATGGACCTGACCAACGAAGAAGCAAGTGCTAAGATAGCCAAACTCACCGAGGACATCAAGCCCTATATGCTTCGAAGAACCAAGCAGAAAGTGGAGAAAGACTTGCCGCCGAAGACGGAAAAGATCATCCGCGTCGAATTGTCTGACATTCAGCTTGAATATTACAAGAACATTCTGACCAAGAACTATGCAGCCCTCAACCAAGGTGCCAAAGGCCAGAAACAGTCGCTCCTAAATATTATGATGGAGCTGAAGAAGGCCAGCAATCATCCATTCATGTTCCCCACTGCTGAGGAACGCCTTGTCCCAGAAGGCGCTCGCCGTGAGGAGGTCTTGCGTGCTCTTGTCACGAGTAGTGGCAAGATGATGCTTCTGGACCAACTTCTCACAAAGCTCAAACGTGACGGGCACCGCGTCTTGATCTTCAGTCAGATGGTCAGAATGCTCGACATACTTGGAGACTATATGGACTACCGAGGTCATGCCTATCAACGTCTTGATGGTACTATCGCCGCTGCTCCTCGGCGTATTGCCATAGACCATTTCAATGCCCCGGACAGCACTGATTTCTGCTTCTTGCTCTCCACCCGAGCTGGTGGTCTCGGGATCAACTTGATGACCGCCGACACAGTCATCATCTTCGACTCTGACTGGAACCCACAGGCAGACCTTCAAGCAATGGCTCGCGCTCACCGGATCGGCCAAGTCAGACCAGTAAGTGTGTACCGCTTAGTCTCCAAGGAGACCATCGAGGAAGAAATTCTTGAGCGTGCCAGAAACAAATTGATGCTTGAGTTTTTGACCATTCAACGTGGTGTTACCGACAAAGAGACACAAGCCCGACGAAACGCCTTTGTAGGAGAACCAGGCAGTTCTAGCGAGATCTCCAGGATCCTCAAGAAACGTGGCCAGAAAATGTTTGAGCAGACGGACAACCAGAAGAAGCTTGAGGAGCTAGACTTGGACGCTGTGCTCAACAATGCCGAAGACTACAAAGTTGAGCAACCGGACGGCACCGACGCCGATGGCGGTGAAGAGTTTCTGCGAAGCTTCGACTTTGTTGATGTGAAGGTCGATGAACTATCCTGGGACGACATCATCCCTAAGGAACAACTAGAGGAGATTAAAAAGGAGGAGCAGCGAAAAGCTGATGAGAAGTTCCTTGCCGATGTCATTGAACAGAACAAACCCCGAAGCCGAAATCACCAGGTAGAGGATCGTGAAGCGCGCAAGGCTCGACGCCAGGAGCAACGCCACAAAGATATTGACTCTGAGAGCGAATCCGATGAAGGTCCCAAGGCGGATCCTTCGCGCCCATTGAGTGAACGTGAATATCGATATCTTATCAAAGGCCATCTCCGCTACGGCTCGATTGATGATCGTCAAGAAGAATTTCTGACAGAAGCCCGGCTTCGAGGTAGAGACATCTCGGTTGTCAAAGCTGCCATGCAAGAGGTCTGGGACAAGTCGGAGGAGCTCTTCAAGGAAGAGCAGAAACGGATGGCCGATCTGGAACGGACATCGAATCGACCGATCACCAAGAAAGACAAGAAAGCGGTCCTGTTCGAGTTACATGGCGTTAAAAGAATCAACGCTGAGACCATTCTTGAGCGACCTGGAGAGATGCGTCTCCTCCGAGATGTTACGTCAAAAGACCCAGACTTCAAATCATTCCGTATCCCAGAAGCGACTAAGGCTGCGGGATATTCTTGTCCGTGGGGTGCAAGAGAAGATGGCATGCTATGCGTGGGTATTGCCCGACACGGCTACGGTGCTTGGGAAAAGATCCGTGACGACCCCGACCTCGGGTTGAAAGACAAGTTCTTCCTCGAAGAGCATCGCGTCGACAAAAAGGCAGAACGCGAGAGGACCGAGGACAAAAACGCAAAGTCCCCTGGTGCTGTCCACCTTGTTCGCCGCGCCGA